TAAATGGGGTTGTAAGCTTGAAAATTTCAGATAGGCATTTATCTGCTTCTATGCCAGAAGAAATTAGTATGAGCATAATAAATATATACCTAATAATGTAGTTACTGACCTGATTACTTCTTCCTTATATGTCTTCCTTAATTTTTTCAAGTTTTTTATTTCCTTTTGCCTTTGGGACCCATCTTACACAACCTACGTGATAGAGAAGGAGAGCTTGCCTTAGAAAAGTACAGAAGAAAAGTATTTTCTGTTTTCCATTGAAGTTATAAATAAAGGCTTTTAGTTTGAAGGTCTGACATAATGATAATTTAAAGGAGCAGGGAAGTGAAATTCTTGCTCTTTTAGTTAGGAGGTACACTTTCCTAAGTGGCAGTACTTTATTCCTGTATAGATTGGGTAAAGCAAAAAAAAGGAAGCTGAAAAATTAACTCAGCGTAAATTTTTTTCTCAATATCCTTTGATCTTAAAGCAGGCAGAGTGCTTTTTTATTTTCTTTTCTTTGCAAAATTGTATGCCCTGCTAAGTAGAGCATTCTCTGTCCAAGCTGCAGTGAGAGGGTTACTGTGCATGTTCCTATGGTAATCTCTCCTATGTTCACTTTTTTTTTACCTGCTAGGGTTGGATTATTAGCAATATTTCTGTAAAATAGTCTCATCTTACCAAGTGGAAGACTGCATCCTAATTAAGTCCAAGAATTTCCTTCAGCCTACCTGGTTGCAAAACTGGTATGCTATGTCAAAATCTCTGATGGTTTTCCTGACATTAACAATTTTAGAAAGATATTTTTTACTGAATGTTCCTGGGTTGGATATTCAGTTTTGCTTTCAGATCTATATAAGGCAATGAGATTATACTGATGCCAGAGACCAGTAGAGTATTTCTGATTTGAGGAGTTCTCATATTTCTACCAGATGAGTCTGCATATTTTGGAATTTAATCTGGAAAGAACTGGGTGGAAAACATATAAAGGCGACTGCTACCTGACTTGTAAATTAATAACTCGTATGAATTTAGGCAAGTACTGCAAGTTTTGCAAAACTCTATTACAGAATTTCCCGATAAAAGAGTACATTTGCTGAGTACCAAAACTTTCTGCTTAAGAGGTTTCTTCTGTAATTTCCTCTATCTGTTACCTAAGTAAAAGACAGAAAACAGAAAACAACATTTGCTGTTAGTTTATTGCTTTGGCTCAGGGATTCTCATATTAGTGTTAACTGCCACTGAGAACAGCAGGTGGTAATTTCCAATGGAAACGAGCAGCTACTAGACCAGACAACCCTCATTTACTTACACCTTGTGCAATGCTTCTCAGGAATATTGTCAGCTGTGGGCTCTTTCTCATTTGTCCTTGTTTTAGCTGACATTGTCATTCATTACTATACTGTGAGTGTAAATGATGATCTAATGTCACTTCTATAATTACTTGGCACCCTGAATAAACTGTAATCCCCCTGGGTCAATAACTGCTCTCAGCTTGACATTCAATAAACAAGGTTTGGAGAATTGCTGTAGTTTCACTTTTTTTTTTTCTTTTTTTCCCTTTTTTTTTTTTTTTAATCCCTCCTGGTGCTTTTCAGTGAATTCTATTCAGGAGTAGTTCTGGACCATTAAGAAAAGAAAGGAAACAACTGCACACAGTGTGAGACTGCTGAAGGGATACCTCTGATTTTTAACACTTACTTACAAAGGCCTCTTATCTGTAGGGTCCAATTCATCTTCAATGCAATTTTTGAGAATTACTTCAGGGGGAGTGAGACCCCCCCCCAGTCTGGGAGGCTGCTCTTTGTCACATCATGAATCATAGTTTTAAGGGCGCATATTAGAGGTATTGTGACTAGGCCTGTTGTATCCTTCCTTTATGCCTCAAGATTTTTGTCAGAACTTGACTTTTGTTGTTGTAGCCTTGAATGTGGCTTCATATAATGCAACCCAGGTAGGTGCAAGCAAGTCTTTCAGTTATAAAATCAATTGCCTCTGTCATGCACAAGGATGGCATGCAACAAGGACAAATCAAGCATTGCTGCAACACTGTCTGTGTTGGTTTCGGCTGCTCTAACAACTCCCCAAAAATTGCTGTTCTGTAACTACTCAGGGTCTACTTCTGCACAGACTGCCTAAAGGTCACAGTGATCTTGAGTTGCATTCTCAGTTTTCCTATATCCTTCATCTTCTATGTTATGGAAACAATATCTTGTTTACTTGTACATTATCACATCCTATGTGCACGTGCCAATGTCTAAGAACAACTCAACTCGTCCTGCTTCTGCCAAACCCAAGAAAAACTTCACTGGGGGTAGGATTAATCATAAGGCAATTGCAGACACAGCAGCCGCTGCAAGATATGATTAATATACTAAGATTATGGTAAAGCCAAGAAGCAAATTATTTATAAACAGCAAAGGTAATTAAATAGGCCAGATCTTCCATAAGGTGAGGGCTGAGAAAAGCAAATCGGGAATGGCTTCGAGGACTTAACATTTCAAAAGAGACTTGCATGACGCAGAAGTTCAGAGTCACCTGACTTCTGATCTGTATGTCATGTTTTGAACAAGAAAATGCAGCATATAAAGAAGGAGTGAAAGGGAGAAAAACTGAAGTGGTCCAGCCATTGTGTACAGAATTGAAAGAAACTGAAAAATAGTGACCATAAAAAAGATGGTGGATTTGATGATGGATGGTGGATAATGACAGAATATCTTGCCAGAGAGGCTGTGCTCAGTCTGAGACCAATATTTCATGGTTTTGCAAGGGCAGATGGACTCTGGCGACTCTTAAAAGAATCATCTACTTTTACCAATCTCTCCTATTTATATTATTTATATTTACTCTTTATTATTTTATGCAATATTTAGAGGTATGTTTTGCATACAGCTCTAGAAAACTTTGGAGCCGCTGTTAAATGTTGATACTGCAAACAGAAATAAGCCAGCTGCATCCCTGCCAGCAAAGCTGTGCCTTGCCACTATGAGCAAAAACACAAGGGCAAATTAATATTTGCCTAATTGAATATCTGTGCTTTGATGACCAATCCTGTGATTCTTCTAATAAGAAATATATTAAAATAATGTATTGGTCTCAGAGAAACCATTCATCAAAATGCTGAGAAAAAGTTGAAAGTAACACAGTTGGCACAGAGGCAAGGAAGGAAAAGAGGGCTGCTTTTCTGGGGTGTGTTGCAAAGCAGCAGAAACACACCCAAGTATTATGTTAAGGTGCCTGTTGGTCAATAGATGAACATCCTGGACACTTTAGTAGATTATCTCACTATTTTTAATAAAAATGCATGTAGATCTTTTTCCCAAGATACTTTTCAGTGCCAACATGTAGTGAAATCCATGGAGGTCCTTTCTGTGTACCGTTAGGTACTAGAAAGACAATAAAAGTCTTAAAACTTTCAGGAATAAAAATTGCAGCCTTAAGAACATCATATGTAATAAGTTCCTTAAATTGTTCCCTATAGCTTTAAATTCCTCTTAAACACCATTCCCTGTGGCTGAGACTAAGATCGCCACACAGGAGAAAATCTCTGCACTTAAAAAGTAAAAGGAAGAAAAATACTTTGTTCTTCTATATATCAGAAAGAGATTTTTTTATAGGGGACAAAGTATGGAAGGAAAATAGAAGTGTTTTTATTTTATTATTTTGTCCCTTTGAACAGTCATATTACTTTTCTTGATCGGTGTCTGTCAGAAACCCTTCACAGCATTCGAAGACTGACTTAGATCAGGAAGTGCAAATGAAAATTTTGAGTGAGCGAGGAGGAACAGAGAGGATCCAGCTCTGGAGAGGAAACAGAAGACTTATGGAAGAAGGAGTAGAGCCTGGAAGAAGCAGAGGGGACAGTGCCCCAGAACACCATAAGTCTTCAAAATGATGCATATAATTGCATAAATTGGCCCAATATCCTATGACTTTCAATGCACTACTAGCAATATTCACTCTTTGTGCTGCTGTGCTGGTGTTCTAGGACAGTAAACTACCCCATTGAACCCATGTATTTAACAACTCATTCTGGACATGTGGAAAATAAAACGAAGTATGGCAAATCCTTGAGGGTTGGAACTTCCATAAGCATAGGGATAAAGCCCAGAGAAGGTACGTTCTCAGTCCCTGGGAACATTCAAAGTCAGGTTGGATTCTGAGAAACCTGATCTAGATGCAGATGTTGCTGCTTATTGCAGGGTGGTTGGACTAACTGGTCCTTAAGTGCCTTTGAAATGTCGCTTCCAACACAAATTACTCTGTGATTCTGTGATAAACAGCTTGTACTCTCCTCACATTGGTATTGTTTTTTTTAATTCCAGGAAAATATTGTTCAGTGTTTTTAAGAATTTTCAACATACTTTTTTTAGCACCATGATAAATCTCTCTGTTGCTTTTATAAGGTCTTTAAATATGTTAATGAAACATTTTTCAAATATTTTTGTTATCTGACTAACAGATGTGACATAATACTATATTTGTTTTTTATGGAATGATTGAGTTTAATGTCTTTTACTTTTCTTTTTTGCATGCAATAAAAATGTTAAGTATACAAAATGCATGCAATGTGTAGTATTATGTGTTAAAATATTATCCAGGCTTTTCTCTCAGAGAACTGTCAACAATACTGCATCTATGACTAATATTTATCATTCAGGCACAAACAAAAATATTTTTCATCATAGCACACCACTTAGTGATTTTTTTAAAGCATATCATAGTCCCACAGCTTGATGGCTGGCTCTAATAAATGCTGTTATTAATGATCACTCTGTCTGTGTCCAGCTATCATCTCCCTGACAAGGCACCTCTCTAAAGACACTGAAACCTGCAGAAATGCCAAGTGTATTGGCCTTCCTGAGATGTAGGCTACCACAAGGTCTTTTCCAAAGAGAGCTCTTTCTGCACAGATGCCACACTACAGATATACTGAGAAGAACTGTTATGGACTGTGGACTTAAAACCCCCAAAAAACTCAGTGTTCTGGTTTGAAAGCAAAACCAGTGAGAGACTCCAAGTCAGAAATACAATTTATTAGGAAAATGGAAAGAAAACAAAATGCATACAATAATAAAAAAGAAGAAATAAAAACCAAAACACTGACAGAGTCAGAATACAACCTGACACCCTCTTGGTCAAGTAGTTTGGAATTGAACCATCCAATTTGGAATGGCTGCAGTCCTCCTGTAGTGGCAGATATGTTTCTGTTGGAGCAGTGATCCTGTAGAAGGGTGTACTCTTCCTCTGAAGACTACAGTGGAAAAGGCAGCTGTTCCTCTGGAAATCCAGTGGAAAGGCTGAGTCTGGTGTCCCAAAAACTCAGGTTATATTCAGTTAGGAATGCTTGGCTCCTCCTTCTGGGCAGAGCATCTCACAATGGAATGTTGTAACTTTTATCAGTCATGCAGTGACATTCAATAGGCCATTAACAGCAGATGTCTTCCTGGGGCAGAGGATTAGTTTGTGGAAGAGATAAAGAAAACTGCCCAATTAACAGTAGATAACTGCCACACCTCTTGCAAACATCTTGCTTTGCAATCTAGGACACTCAGGATCCAGAAAATGCTTTTTTTTTTTGGAAGTAAGCAAACAAGAATATGAGCATAACAGTCAGATTTGCACCATGTAGTGATTAGGTAGGCAAAACTTGCTGTTGTAGATAAAGGCCCAGACAGTAGACAGTACCTATGTAGTGATTCTTTGGGACACCTGCAAAAGTAACATATTTTCTGAAGTGGAGAGAATTGTCTAAATATCCCTTTTGATAATGTATTTAGATCTGATCTACAGCATTGTGTTAGAAGATACAATGCATTTGTCCCTGGACTTGTTCTCAGTTCCAGGAGGTTCAGCGGGGTCCAGAAAACCAGAATCTAATTTTTCATTTTGTCCCTATTTCTAGTCCCTATCGTGTGATCATGACATACTGCAGATCTGTGTTAGGTATCACTCACTTTACAACTCTGGAATACCCTGGGTGACTTTAACAATTAAAATTTTAAAAAATTACTTCTGCGTTTTACAATATCTCTCATTAAGAGACAGGACAACATCCTTTGAAAGTGAATAGTGAGACATCTTGCTTCTTGCATTAAACTGAAGGACTCTTGCTTCTTACTACCACATGGTTCCATTTTGATGTGCTTAATCCTTAACTGTGCTGCCTTCCTTTCTCATTGTCTTTTTCTAGGAATATCATTGCTCTCAGAGCAACAAAAAATTCCCCAAACCAAATCAATCCAAACCAAAATGTAAAATAAAAATTTTTATGCATGACTTTTTTTTTCTCTAATTGTGTGGCCATTTCATACTGTCCTTTGATTCCTCCATCCTCCTTTGGCACAATCAACTGTCTAGCAAAAAGGTTGTGAAGAGCCTGTGTTTCATATTCCCTAGAATGCAATCAAAGCTTGAAAAACAAGGGGTGTGTTGACAGCTGCATCACTCATTTCTTGTTGTATGCCTGAAACCAAGGCTGCTCTGAATGTCTGTGGTAAGTGCTGAAGGAGCAATGAGGAGAGGCAGAAATCTGAGGTGAGGAAATGTCTGTCTGAAGTCATGAAATGGCAGAACTTTTCTACTTTCACACAATTCACACAGACACAGGTACCTGTACCGGAATTATGAAATACAGGGGACTGGATATTAAGCATGTTTCCACTGGATTGAAAAGCTCAGATCTAAGCCAGATCTGCTTGGCCCAAAAGCTGTCATTATTTAGCAGTTGTTCAGCGAGCTGCGTAAAGAGACTTGGGAAGTTAATCTGATTGTAGGAGAAATGTGATTTGTTTGTTTAAAGATCTTTCCCTGGTTATTTAGGAGAGAGACTAAAGGTTGGGATAAACCAGCCTACTTTTTTTAAGCAATTGGAAAAATATCCTTAAAAATTAAAAGTTTGGAATTTTTCCAAATTCCAAAATTTCCAAATATTATCCACAATTAAAATTATTAGTACTCTATCTTATTTATCAAATTGCCTGATTTGGGTAAAAAATCTTTTTTGGGCTATTGAAAATAAATGTATTACTTTCCATTGTTGTCTCTGGCCATCATTTTCATAGATGAATAGTTATGGTTTACACATAGGTTTAGCAAAAAAAATAGGAAATGCACAGACAGACAGAAAACTGTGTGGGGTGCCAGAGACTAGAGATTCTGAGAGTTTGAACAGGATTACATGCAGGTTTTGTTTCTTTCATTATATTTTCTTTTATTTATTTTGTTCTTTTTTATTTTTCAAATTTTGTAATTTATGCTGCAGAAAATAAAAAGCTCATGTAAAACCCTTGAGAGAAAGGCAGTTCATACTTGCCTTCTTTCACTGAATGTCTTGTGCCACAGGTTCTGTATCTGGATACAAACAACCTGGTCACAGAGGCATTTACAGATCTCTGTTCAATGGTTCCAAAAATAAAATTCAAAGGGGAAGGCTTATCTTTTCCTTGGTATTAGTTAAGAAAAGTCACTGCATCTTTTTATTGTAACTTTTATTATGTTTTTAAATTTAAGTCTTTGTCCACTTTTTCTTCCTTTTCTGCCCTACTTTTTTTACTGGAGCTGATGACCAATTTCTGTTCCAAATACAAAAAGCTTTGTACCTTTGATAAATTGCAACATTTGTCAAAAGACTGTCATTGCTTTAATGACATCCCTGTCTTGAGATGTTTCACTTGTGTTTTGCTTGTCTAGAAAAAAACTTATGCTATGTGCTTGGAAGCACAGTCCTTTTACATTTCTATACCTAAGAGAGTCTAATGAAACACTTCCAATTACAGTAATTTCCAGCTGCTTTATTTAGACCTTATAGAACCAGAATATTACTGATTTTTATCTTGATCTCTCCATTCCAGCAAGCAAAACACTCCAATCTCTTGGACCATATAATATCAGGTTGCTTATATGATTAAAATCCATAACATATCTTTAAGAAAATAACACCACTTGATATACAGCCTTATATAGAAAGAACATCCACAGTTTTTGAAGAGCACCAGGCCTTCACTGACAATACGTGAAGTTTTTAAGAATTCATGGCCAGTTTTTGTCAGGGAAAAAAACCCAACTAAACAAGATCAAACAAGATAGCCATCTTCAATAGCACCATCTGCTGCTGGTCCTCAACATTTTATACAAATTGTCATCCTCTGACTGCAAACCATACTACTCATCATGGACACAGTTTATGAGCACTTACTTGTAGGGAGCTGCAAGTATAAATGGAAAATTTTGCAGTAAGAAGCAGCTCATTTTCAGTCCATAATGATTTTCTTTTTTAGAGTGGCCAAGAGTTGGCAGGAATTCTTGTTTCTTTTAATAGTAGTCTGTAAGCTTTAAAATGGGAAATGTCTACATTTTACCTGAAATTAGGATTAAAAATAAGGAGTTAAAAGTATTGTGAAATACTTATAGAAAGTCATCTAGAAGGGAATTTGTACCACGTATTTCCTTTCAAAATGTTTTTTTCTTAAAATGGAAGATATATATCATGAATATAGAGATCACTTCACATTTTGGTTTTAGTTTCCATTAATTAAATGAGTAAAGTATGACAGAATCAGACTGAGTATAAAAGCCTAATAGAGAAGAAAATTTTACAAATGGAAAGAAAAAGAATGAGGTAAAATCTTAGTGTTACCAAACTTCATTATCAACATCTTTTAAAACAATCAGAGAAGACAATCTGAATTGTCTTCAGATCAATTGCATTATTTCTCAACTGCTGATAATGTTAAATAAGGCTACTAAACAGAGAATGTCTACATTTCAAATAAGGAAAGAAAGTATATAAAGAATTTGTAAAGCAAAATAGTTTGCAAATGCATCTCAGATTAGCCAATTTCAATCACTTCAGTCATCAAGTAATCCTTCTCCGGGACTCTGTTCTCTTCTTTGCAATAAAGAATCAAAAAGTAATATTCAGTTGCATTGCATCTTCTGCCAATACTCAGACTGGTTTTTTCTAGATTTTTTTTTTAAATCTGACTAAGAGTGTTTTTCCAGACTACTTACTACTTACAGTAGTTTACAGTTTAAGTCAGATGAACCCCAGAACAATTTATTCTTTCCTTACTGAATTTTGGATTCTTACAGAGAAGCAAATCAGAATGAACCTGAGTGATGTATTTCAGACAATTATTTCTTCACCAGAAATGTGTCTGCCAAAATGGAGGCCTTCAGGAAGCTCCACACCTGAAGCTGAATTATCCAACAAGGTTTACACAAAATCACAAAAATGCGGCAGAAATAGTGAAGAATTGTTTCAGAACTTCTGAGGATTTTGGTTTTCACACACTTCTAATAAAAGTTAAAGAAATGAAGGATTAAATATATCAAATTAGTACCACTGATGACAGCGTGAACATGAAGTTCAACAAGGCCAAGTGCAAGGCCAAATCCAAGGGCCAGGACAGCCGCAAGAACAGATACAGACTGGGGAAAGCGGCTGGGTGTAGATCAGCCCTGAGGAAAAGGACTTGGGCTGTTGGTTGATGAGAAGCTGAATATGACCTGGCAATGTGCACTTGCAGAGCAGAAAGCCAACTGTGTCCTGGCTGCATCAGAAGAGGCATGGCCAGCAGATCCAGGCAGGTGATTCTGCCTTTCTAGTCTGCCCTCATGAGACTTCACCTGGAGTTCTGCACCCTGCTCTGCGGCCCCCACCACTGACCCATGTTAGTCTAGAGGAGTCCACCAAGATGATTAGAGAAGGATTGAACCTTCTCTCCTATGAAGACAGGCCAAGAAAGTTGAGGCTGAGCATGGAGAAGGCTCTCTGGCCTTACAGCAGCGTTGCAGGAGCTGAAGGGAGTCTACAAGAAAGGTGGAGGGTGACCTTTTACAAGGATATGAAGTGACAAGACAAAGCAAAATGTTTTTAAACTGAATGAGAGTAGGTTTAGATTAGATTTTAGGAAGAATTTCATTACTGTGAGGACAGTGAGGCACTGGTACATGTGGCACAGAGAAGTTGTGGATGTCCCATTGCTGGAAGTGTTTAAGGCAAGATTGGATGTGGCTTTGAGCAACCTGGTCTATTGGAAGGTGCCCATTCTATGACAGAGGATTTTGGAAATAGATCATAGAACAGTCAAGGTTGGAAGAGATCTTCTAGGTCACATAGTAAAACTGTCAACCCAGCAAAAACATAACAGTCACGAAAATATATCCCTAAGTGTTACAACCAGATGTCACTTGAACACTTCCAGAGACAGTAACTCCACCACCCTCCTGGGAAACTAATTCCAAGCACTCTTTCAGTAATTGTTTTTTCCTAATATCTAATCTGATCTTGTTCTTTCACTTGAGACATGCTGGAAGAGATGATCATTAAGGTCCCTTTGAACCCCGGCCTTTCTGTGATTCACAAAGGGTGAGGATGTGACCTGCAGAAAGTCTCCAAGGAAACCAGAGGCAGAACCAGAAACTGAGGTCAAGTCACAGTGTCATACTCCACTTGCTATAAGTCAGGCTATAAAAAAGATCACTGAATTTCTTCAAGGCGTAAATGTTTCTTTAATATGGTCTATATGAAAAATTTGTTTGATTCTTATTCATAGGTGTCAGACTTGTAAGAAAACCCTAGCAAAAAACATAGATACATACTGACCCATGAACCAACCAAGAACCAGATATTATTCAATGAAAATGTTTCCCTTTTTAGGGAAAATTATTTGAATTCAGCTTCCAGTTTCTCAGAAATTAGGACACCC